ATAAGGATATTCTAATTTCATGTTATATGTCATGTGTTTGACTTATTGACTCAGATTAGTTATTGGGTTCTCTTGAAATTTTTTTTGTTATCTCTTTTTTGTTGTGTTTTGATAAGTTTTTTAAACTTATATTTTTAAATTAGCTTATAGTAAACTTCTTAATAAAACCTGGATTTAAAGTTTCATGAGTTTCAAGCTTTTTAAGATTTGACTATGTTTAGAATATTTTTCTAGATTTGCATGGTTTTTATATATATTTTTAATTTCATCCTTTATGATTTTTTTAATCTTTAAAATCTAGTTGTTGTTCTTTTAATTAATATTTATTTTTTTTCATTAAATTGCATCTTCCTTATATTTTTCCTATTAAATTTTATCCTCATTCTTTTTATTGCTTTTACAGGTTTTTTTATTAATATTTTTTTATTGATCTCCTCTTTAGGAATTAAATTGGTTAATAATTATTCTTCTTGATTAAATCTGGGTGAAAAATTTCATAGGATATGATTTTTAAAGATTATACTAGGTTTAAAAGGTTTGCCTTGCTTTTTTCCTTTTTCTAAATTGATGTTGTCTTATTTTTTACCCTATCTTTTCTAACTTTTGTTTTGTTATTTTTTTTATTTAATTTTTTTAATTTGATTCTGTTGAGTTAGCCCTTACTTTTTTTTCTTCGTATTCCATCCCCATTATCTTTTAATCTATAGATAATGTACCATATTACAAATGATTTTTAATCTCACCCTCAATGATTTTTTTAATCTTTTATATTTGGTCATACTTTTTTTAATTGTATTTTTTATTACTTGTGATAATTTATTTTTTTTAGATTTCATCTTTATTGAGTTTTTTATGTCAGATTTTAGACCTACTTTTCTGTCGTTGGTTTTCTTTTGCAAGTTTTTGTTATTAATAATTTTTTCAATTATTTTATTATTTAAAATTAAATTAGATGATATTTAAGTTTATTTTTTAAATTTAAATTCATAATCTAACAAGTTATAATTTTTTAAAATTGAACTAGGTTTAAAAGGTTTATCAAAATTTATTTATTTTTTATTTTTTTAAATTGATGTTTTCTATTTTTTTAAATTTAACACTTTTTTTCTATTTTTTTTGGGTTAGATTAATATATAGTTGTTTGATAATTTAAATAGATTTGAATATAATTTTTATTTTTTATTAATATTTTGTTATTATTAGTTTTTTTATAAATATTTAAATTATCAACTTAACCCATAAATCAAAGTTTAAGTATTATTTTAATCCACCACGTTTTTTACGTTGAAAAAACATTTCTTTATAATTAAAATTTTTTTTCTGGCTTGCGGCTATGCATAAGTAACGTATCCAAGTAATGATAGTAAACTAACTAGCTAGCTAGGTAGCTGTTTGCTTGTCTAGGATTAGCTCGACTTCCATCTTACCAA